CTCGTAGGCGGGATGGCGCTGGCTTTCGACCCATTGTCAACCAGAGGGTGTATCCCAGAATGTCGATCCGTGAAGAAGAAGAGGCGATATGGAAGTGGTTCGCCAGCGGCTTTAATCGCCGTCGCTTGGTGGCTCATACGTTCCCTGTCTGGTTAGTCTCTCATGTGCAATGTCGAGTGCACTTCTTGGCATTGCCGCCATAACGTTTATGGTGCCAGGTTGGGATGGTTGCGATTTGGAACGTCTGTTGCTGGTATGGGAGCCATTATGATACTCCTCATGGTAACCCACGGAAAATCGCCTGCAAGAGGGCGAAAATCCATGTGTGTTCACACTCTTCACTGCGAGTTTGCCGCCGCTGGAATGCGTTGCTTGTCGAGACTGCCGCTGTTCCGTCTGCCGACAATTTCATGATGAAGTTAGACAGTCATGCAGCGACACACGGCGTAGGCTCAATCAGGTAGGGTATGGACTGGGTTGATACAACGTAACAACTTCTCATAACCCGCTGCCGAATCTTTTGTGCCGCTACTATCATCGCGAATCTGACTCAACCTTATACTTCATTTGATACGTCTTCTCTAGCTGCCATCGCTTACTAACGGCATTACTGTCTCTGTTCTCATAAACTTGCTTGCTTATTCTCTTCCTTCGGAAAATTCGACCTCACTGTACCTATCGGAATTCTTCTCATTATCTATCTCCCATGAATCTACCCAGGTTTCTCCCTCCCTTCCGCTTCCGCTTCCTTTCACTGCATTTTTTCCTCTGCTCTTCCCCTCCTTTCACTTCTCTATAAATCGTTTCTATCCTCTTTTTGCAACCGGTCCGACCGGCTGTCTGGTGGCACAACACTTGACGAGCCCACCTGAGGACAGTCCCCCGAAAAATCACGCAGTCCCTACAAATCCAATCAACACTCAATAGTCCGTTGGGTTAATCAGGGCTGCAGCACGCGAGCAGGAAGACCAGCTGCGCCGGAATCCACCTGGTGCCTAGGGCTGTTCCGGAAGACCTAGGGTGAGCGCGAAGGAATCATTTGGTTCACACCAGTTGGTACAGTTAGTGGGAGGTGGATTAGAAGAAAGACCCCAGAAACTATAAGTTTCCTCCACTCACCCCCCGACGTTTGATGCTAAAAGCATAAGAGCAAGTAAGAGCACATTAAACTGCATCATAAGACTTTAACCTGTCTTCTTATATATTTAGCAAACTTCGCTTTTTCACTTACGTTATTTGTATATTAAGTCTCTTGACCATGGCGGTACTAAAAACCAGATCACAAGCCCTTAATCGTGTAACAAGGTCTTCAGGCGGGCAGAATCTAGTTTGTGCAGAAAAGACGAGCGCAGCAACACCCCCGCCGTCTAAGGTCCCCATAGAACTGTCACACCAGGCATGGCATTTGTCAGAACCGGCAAACCCCTGTAATCGGGGCAACAGTAGCACGTCCCCAGGAAGGTACAGAGAAGAGCGATAGTCGGTTGTCGGACTGACAGGCAACACATGTGCGCGGCGCCTCAGCCAACTCCGCTTGTTCACACTGAGCTGTCGAAGGAGACGAGGCGACCTGATAACAGCCAGCAAGATCATTCACCAAGTGGACCACCTAAACAGGACGGCGTGATCCGTCTCATGGCAACCCCACTCGCATACACCACCATAGGGCGAAGACAAGAGTGAGATCTAACTTCTCACATAGAGTATGTGCCTTATGGAATGCTCTGTCGAAGGAAGTGGTCGCAGTTATATTGGTCAACTTCCTCAAACGACTACTGGATGAGTATGTGAGCGCAAATGGCTTACCACGAACATTTGGCAGTAGCAACTGGTGATACACCCTTCCACCCTTGTATTCCCAAACCCCGGTATCTGCAATAGGACGTAACTTTCTTCCATATTATTACCAGCTACGCTTATCTTTCCATAAGTACTTTTCACTCTCTTTTTTCTCATTCCCCGCTCACTCTTTTCCTATCAGTTTCTGAGTTACGCTTAAGACTTACCTGCAGGTGCCTACGACAACAGGAGTCGCAAATGGCTGACCGATCTTATCAGAAGTTCCGCTACCCCTCCCCCAAAACAAACCAATCTACAATATAAAAATACAGTACCTTCAGCCAGACAATCACCACCCCCAAGGCTACAAGCAGGAAGATGCAAGGACTTCTGACACCATCTGGGAATCCCTCAGTGGAGAAAACACTGTCCATACCGCTCAGCATGGCTTTCGGAGTGGTCGCACGTGTGCCGCCAGCTTACTAACCGCCTGAGACCACTGGACACAAGGCTGGGATAACAGAAAACCGGTACATGTTGTATTTCTTGATCTAGCCAAGGCATTTGACAGTGTCCCACCCACACTACTGCTTCACAAGATCATGTCAGCAGGTATAAGTGAACCCCTACTCTCTTGGTTCAAGGAGTACCTGGGAGGGAGGCAGTTCTGCACTAAAGTAAACAGAATAAGGTCGGAGTGGAGGCCCTCGACGTCAGCAGTATCCCAAAGGGCGATCCTAGGACCGCTTCTGTTCCTCCTGTTTGTCAACGATCTGCCAGATAAAATGTCCCCACCCGTCTTCCTCTTCGTTGACGACATAGAAATTTGGGGGGTGGTAAACGAAGAAGCTGATTGTACAGCGCTACAAAGGGACTTGCAGCAACTCCAGCTCTGGTCGTCGGAAAATGGCCTGAGCTCCAACCTGGAAAAGTGCAAAGCAATGCACATCAGTAAGAATGAATCAAGTACGACCGACTTCCAGTACATGTTGAGCAACTGTACTATCACCAGAGTGTCCATGGAGAAAGATTTGGGGCTTAACTTCCCCGACACCTTGGACACCAGCTCCAACTACAAAGGTATGGCAATCAGAGCAAGCGCCATCCAACACTTTCTGCGCAGAAAACTTGGCGCCCTCACTCCCGAACTCCTCCTCACCATTTTCAAATCCTACGTGCGGCCGCACCTAGAGGTCTTCAATACGGTGGCCCCTTCAGCACTCAAGAGAGACTCTAATCTCCTCGAAGGAATACAAAGGACTGAAACAAAATCTGTTGTAAGGCTAAGGGGAAAAACGTATCCTGAAAGACTTGAACACCTAAACCTATTTACCTTGGGTTATCGCAGTAAAAGGGGTGACCTCATTATGGCATACAAGATCGCCCATCAGGCAGACCATGCAAACAAATCAGTTTTGCCTGCAAATCAACGATCTTCATGAGAAAACCCCACTAGGATAGCACACCAGAGAGCCAACACCATACTCAAGTCGAAATTTTTCTCCCTGGGAGTATGTGCTTTATGGAATGCCCTACCACGTCACATCGTCATGGCTCCCTCAGTCGGCTTATTCAAGAGACGATTAGACAGTTATGTCACCTCGCATGGACTACCAAGGACGTACTCAGGTAGTCACCAACCGCACTAGCCCCCAACTCCCTCCTAATTACCACTCACTATCCCCCTCCTTAATACATCCACATTACCTACTAATTCTCCTTCCCTTCTTTTCCCTTTTCTCTTCCCTTCTTCTTATCATTTTTCTCCTTTCTTTCTTCTCTTTTCTTTTTCTTCTCTCTTCATTCTTTTACCACTACCTTACTATTCTCTTTCAGGTACCTTCACAGACAAGAGTTACGGCAGTTCCTTAAACGTCCCAGCAACCCGTAGCTCTACAATCACTCCAAAAATTACAGCTTACCCACAAAATATCCACCTCACCGAAGCTGAAAGCAAGAAAGCAGAGGGGATTTCCTCGTCCACTGCAGGAGTGAACCGAATGACTCGAACCAAGCCCTAAGAACCAGACGCGAGAAATCAGAAACTACCAGTTTTCTACGCTCGGGCTGTCAATACTAGATATTGGATATTGAAGTACAACCAAATGATGAAAAGAACCGATCCTCAGGACCTAGAAGCGAGAGCTCAAAAACTACAAGTTTCCTCTACTTGCACTATTGATGTTGATGTTGGATGTTCTTTTACTTCGACTCATATGCCTCCCTCACAGACGTTCTGCACGCATGGTATAATGCGAAAGATCGCATGGGTGGCTCAATACGTATATGTGAAAGTAAGCCTAGACCCACAAGGCAAGAGGAGAGACGGCAACCACCAAGACCTCTGGAGTCAGTGGTCGTCACACAGGCGCTGACCAGTGAGTCAGATACATCAAGTAAAGAAGCCACCACTGCTACAGCCCCCACCCAAGTTAAGAACAAAACACAAAAAAACGGAACAATGCCAGTCCTATGAGGACTGGCGAGGCTAAATTCAACCACGTAAGCGCTCATCCCTCGAAAATACACATCCAGACCTCACCTCTCATCAGGTACACTCTAATATGTATGTACAGCAACGTTAGGGGGCTAATAGGGAAGGTAGCAAAAATGAGGACGCTGCGTGAACATCAGCACTACGACATCATATTCATCACCGAATCCTGGCTCTCATCGGACATCTCCGACGAAGAGATGCGTGTTGCTGGCATGGAACTCTTCCGCAGGGACAGGGAACATAGAGCAGGAGGGGGAGTGGCTATCTACGCAAACTCCTGTTTAAAGGCAAGGATGGTTAGCGATACGGCCTTAACCCAGCTCCCAGAGTCTCTATGGTGCTACTTCACTCTCTTCTTTATTCTCTCTTCATTCCTTTACCACTACCTTACTATTCTCTTCCAGGTACCTACACAGACAGGAGTCATGGCAGTTCTCTAAACTTCCCAGCAACCCGTAGCTCCCTAATCACTCTACAAATTACAACCTACTAACCCACAAAACATCCACCTCACCGAAGCTAAAAGCAAGAAAGCAGAGGGTATTTCCTCGTCCACTGCAGGAGTAAACCGAACAACTGGAACCAAGCCCTAAGAACTAGACGCGAGAGATCAAAAACTACCAGTTTTCTACGCTCGCACTATCAATATTGGATATTGGATATTGGATCCAACTGACTAACGTTTGAGGTGCTAGTTTTTTCTGTGAAGGTCATCGTTACAATTATGTTCTTTGCCACCAAAGCACCTAATGAGGAGGTTTCACTGACCAATAGAGTTTTTTTCAACCCTAAGGATTTTAGCGACAAACTGAAGTAAGAGTTTACTCAGTCTTATGCCTACTTTTTTCAGCTGTGTGGCTATACATACAACTGCAGATAAATATGTTTTCCGCGGTTGCGCACATGAAGGTGTTGCTCAAAAGAAAGTCGCTTTCGGGTTAGCCCAGGTCAGCCAATATGTGTTATCCTCCTGTTTCATGTTTCAACCGTCGAATATTACTCATTAATGAACAGTTCCAAACTGTTTTACACACCCAGAGGGAGTGAGTAACTGGAGAAGTAGTTTACAGTGATAAACGCTTCATCGTGGTTCATATAAGGTTTTCGGAAAACGCAGGGCTTCACAGCAACACATACACATCAGATAGTTTTCCACACATCAAACCTGCGTATCAGGAAAATTACCGTCATTCACCTATAGGTGAAAAGCTAGTTTTTGACGAAGAAACGAACTACTGTATGAAGTGTTTAAATGCTGATGACTAGTTTCTGCACTTTTCACCACGTCATATCAAGGTAAACTTGCAAGTTCAATTGTTGAGTGCCAGAGAGTGGGTAGTATCGGACACTCGTGACCATTCTGCAGTGGAAATTAATACTGTATATCTGATAAAAAGAGAATGTAAGTTAATAGGTAGGGCATATTGTAGTTTTTTTTAGAACGTCTCTTCCTCTTTCGATTGTTATGACTGGTATCCGGCTTAACGGCTTCATAGTTGGGTGACGTATTTTCAACTACCCAGCCTATTTTTGAACGATGCCTGTCCTGTTATACAAGAACTGTACAATTCAGAAGGCTTAGGGTAAAGGCTGCAGCCATGACGGATAGTCGCTACAGTGAAATGGTGGTTCACCTGGTTCCGCCTAGATATTGTAGTAAATCTTGGTAATTACTTAAGCTTATTCAGGATATTAGCAAGAGAAAAGCCATAGTTGGTGAAACCGTCACCAAAATGAATGATGACTCTTGACGACTCATAATAGGCTACTGAAACTTTGGCAGAAACACTTTGAGGTGCAGTTCTGTCGGCTGACGGCATTGCATCAGTTGCCCAACATCCAACCTGCACCTGAATGTGCCGTAGATGTCAGCTTTTTAACTTGCATCGAAATTGGGAAGGCTGTTTCAAACCTGAAACAATGCAAAGCAGCAGGACCTGGCAGTTTGCTACCCGAAGCTTTCACGGATGGAGGTAGAAAAATGCTGATTAGAGGTAATGTGTGACAGTCTCTCAGACTGGTCTATTTCACTTATCTTTCTAATCTATAAAAAGAGAAGTCTTCTTGTGACAACTATGGAAGAATTCGTTTGATTAATATCGTATCCAAGATCCGTGGGTCCATAGCTATCTAACGCCTATCTGGAGCTTGCGAACAGCAAACTTGAGAAAATCAGACACGTTTCAGACCTAGTAGAGGGTGAATCAATCAGACTTTCACCCTTCGACACATCCTGTAGCACAGGGCTACTTACCATTATTATTCATGTGCCGTGGAATCACCTCGTGGACAATGCGAAAATTAGGCACGGAGTTCCAGGCAGCGAAAGCAAGTGCATCGATGAGGTGAGTTGTTGTCGATTGAGGTGACTTGGATATGTGTTGTGCATGCGAAGTCACCACCTATTTTGATGTTCGGTATTAGACGTGGTAGCATTAGGTTGTAAGAAGGTTTAGGGTGGTTAGACCAGGAAGTTGCACCAGTCGATGACGGCTCTGACTTTTGGTCTAGGCAGTTTAGGGTATAGACTACCTGATTGGGTTCGTTGAGACGATGGTTAGAGACATTTGTTGACGTGACTGAAAATCGGCCACAATGGTGCAAATGTATTCACTCTTTGGCGTCTTCTAAAGCTTGGGCATTTCCCGAACCTTCATTTTCGAATATTTCCTCCTCGTTTACACCTTTGCTTACTCTAATTTCCGTCTGTTCGACTTTTCATATCAGTCAGTAGCATTCAACATACACTTGATTATTCTTATCATGAAATTAACTTATAACACTTAAAACCGGCTAACTTAAAGACATCTACAGTAAGTGATGAGTAGAGCTGATCTCTTTTCTGGTTGGGGGTTATTTTAAGACTACTTTTATTGGCAGACAAATGGAGAACCTGGTACATAAATGCGTAAATTCAAGTCTCCACACATCACAGTATCATGCAAAAAGTGGATGGAGAAAGAATGATATTAAGGTAGCCAAAAATGTATGAAAGGAAAGAGGATAAGCAAACGAAGTTAAGTGAAAAGATTTGAAACTTTGGAAATGACGAAAAGTGCAGCTTCATTTTGGTGACTGGTTTGAAGCTATATCACACAGATTCTCCAAATATTAGTTCCTGTCATCTTGAGGTCCCCAGCCAGGCAGCCTACATCTTCCCACACAGATCATACTAACAATAAAAGACTGCATGTATTTCCACCACACCTTTGCATAGCTCACCAGAGTAGGTGTTGTCTGTTGCACATGTTGAGCAGCGTCCGTCCGTGAAGCTTCAAAACCCCATCAACCTTGTTTTTCTTGTCGAGTACTCTACCTTTAACCCGAAAACTGCTCACATTGGCTCCACCACATAAAACCGATTTTACGAATGAACGTATGTTCAGAAGACTGTAGATGCTACACATTTGCTACTTTTAGAGAGATCTCAAAGCGGTACGGTAGGACAGAGTTATTTATTGTGTAGTGTCTTCTTTTTCTGATAGATAGTCAGATGTCTCACTGGTGTAACAGACAGCATAATTTTGATATTTCTGAACAGGCCTTTTAAATTTGAGCTGCGACTTTATCTGCAACCAACTCATTCGGGCTAACTTAACTTCCCATGCAAGGAAAGTGGTCAACACCTTCTACCACTTCCCTTCCTATCATTAAACTAGTAGTCGCAGACTAGTCTTAGAGCATCATCTTACATATGACAGGTATGAGACGGATACCAAACTTGCTCATATGTTTCCTCAAGGTGTACAAAAGACCCTGCATTTTATCTTCGTGTTTGCCTAACAGATATCAGCCATGTGCCTTATATGCAGTAAGTCAATCTCTGAAAAGTCAAAGGTTAGTAAAGTGGCGTCCATCAAAATGTCTGTAGTTAAATAAGAATGGTAATGGTGGGGATTCCTGGTGAGCACTCTTGGTCGTTCTTTACTTCAAACTACAGCTCTACTTAGGTCATTACACACCTGCCGAAGTTCGAGTAGTTAGCCTATATAATTTCTTGTTACTCCATAATCGAACACTGTCACACCACCGGTCGGTCTACGGAGTGGAATGCTACTCTAAGATCTGCAAATAGAGAAACAGATAAAAGCGTTCGAACCAAGCAACTCAAAGCTAGTGACCAGTAGAGCACATTTGAAGGAAAACCATTTTTCATGCTTCAAAGTAAATTTCCAACTAAATAACCATCATTTCCTGACATTTGTTTATTATTATTTTACTATTTATCCCTTCGGTTCCTAGTGGAACATAGGGTTTCAGTAGCACGTCTCCATTCCACTCTGTTCTCTGCAATCTTTTGAACCTGGCTTCACTACTGCCCACAAGCTTTCATTTCTTCTTCACACGGTCTCCTCCATATCACTCCCGGACGCCTAACTCATCGTTTCCCTTTGAATTCCACTCGATAGCCTGGCCTGATGCGTGATGCCCCCAATCCGTCTTCAGTGTATGCCCAATTCATCTCCAATTTCTTCTGCATATTTGTTGGACAATAGGTTGTTGGTTGGTTCATTGCCAGTTAAAAGTTCGTTGTTGCTTATTCTTTCTGGCCTTCTCATCTGATCTTCAGTACTGAGCGAGCGTAGGCGGCGGCTGTTGACTTGACGAATGTCTGCAGTTTGTTGAAGATACTTTTCGTAAGGCTCCAAGTTTCTGAACCATATACACTCACTGACTTGATGTTGGTGTTGAAAATCCGGATCTTGTTCTTTGTGCCGAGTGAAGTGGAGTGGAGTGGAGTGGAGTGCAGTGTAGTAGATCTCCACACTGGTTTCAGGTTGATGAAAGCCTGTCTTGCTGTCTTTCTGATCCTGGTTTTGACGTCCTCATTTGTGCCTGTGTCGCCTGTAGTTGAGACGACGCTGCCTAGGTAGGTGGAAGAGACAACCTCCTTTACATTTCTCCTGCCTGTCGTGACTGGTGCTTGTTGCACTTATTGTTGTTGTTGTTGGTTGAGTGGTATCTTCATTACCTCTATCTTCTCTACATTCACTTGAAGGAAGTCGAGTGTTCGCTGCCTCGCCTCTTCTGCTAACTCGTCGGTTTTTGCCGGAAGACCTTCGAATTTGTACAACACTAAACATAAATCAGCAATGGCGAAATCCAAATGTTCTAGGGTCTTTTCATCGGTGCAGTCACCGTATGCCCATCTTCTCACTCCTCACAGTTTGTTGCATGATCCAGCCTAGTCCAGTCCAGTCGACCACAATCAGGAAGATGATGGGTGATAGTAGGCGGAAACCTTGTCTCACTCCTTCCTATCTTCACTTCAAAGGGATCACTGAGCTTACCATTGTTAATCACTTGGCATGTGCGGTCCTCATATAGTTGTTGAATGAGTTTGCTAAAGGTTTGTGGTACTCCGTAGCGTTGAAGAAACTGTCTGGCAAATTACTTCCAGATCGATGCTGTCGAAGGCCCTTTCAAAGTGGATAAAGTTGAGGTACAGGTACAGTTGACTGCCATTCTATGCTCTACTATATTATATGATGATATGTAGCATGGCGTTGCAACTTGATCCACATAAGTACTCACTTCCTCTTTCCGTTGGTCATCTTTACACTGGTTCGTCTTCTGCTTCTCCATCAGCTTCCATCGAGATCCATTCATTGCCTTGTCCTTGTCTTCTTCCTTCCTAACACGGTTATGCAGGTTTCCTTCCACATCTCTTTCAAAGAGTTCCGGTGTTCTTCCATGCAGGTTCCTTCAACGATGTTACTCACTGTCCCCCACTTTTTCCTGATGACCGACTGACGTGAAGATGTTCTTTGTAGTTTTGTCCTTCAGTTCAGTTTGTGTTCTAGGTGTTGAACTTGAACTGTGGCCTATCACGAACTTCTGTGAAGGCTTTCAACTCGATTTTGAAGGTTCCTTACACTGGACAGTGAGTGGTGTGAGCCTGCATCTGCTCCTCTTCTTCATCCTGTGTCCAGTAGGCTGCGTCTCC